CCGGCCGCTTACTCAGCAAAACATCCGGGGATGTTTTGATGAGGTAAGAGGCCGGGAATCAAGGTCTCTCTCTCTCCTGGGAGAGAGAGAACTATATCGATACTTGATATGATATAGTTCTCTCTCCTCCCAAGGAGGAGGGAGCCCCACTTACGTGATCAAAACATCTCTGGATGTTTTGATCACGTAAGCCTAGCCAAGAACCTTACCGATTCGATATTGGTAAGGTTCAGAGATAGGAACCTTACCGATATCATCGGTAAGGTTCCGAGCTTATCGAGGGGCGTGCGCTTTGACCCGCCCCTCGCTTAAGCTGCACGCCAGGCCAGAACCGACCTATGTCGGTTCTTGGCGGGCGTGCAAGCCCACCTGCCCCTCCTGGAGGGGCAGGTTCTTCTGCACGCCCCTCGGTATGAAAAAAACACGCTTCCGAGGGGCGTGTGATCAAACCCGCCCTTCCTGGAGGGGCGGGTTCGATTGCACGCCCCTTTTGGAGGGGCGGGGGCGTGGGCGTGCGGGGAGGGGGAGGGGGTGCGATTATCATTGCACCTCAGATACCCATACTTGTACTTGTACTTGAGGGGGCAGGACAAAGCAAGTACTTGCATACTTGTTGCAAGTACTTGCAAGTATGCAAGCTTAGTTTGAGAGATAAAAGTGATAAATTTCTTGTGTTTCCATTTCAGAGATTTGTATTTGTAAACTAAGTGAACTAAATGATTGTAAATAGTAATAATATGCCCTTCATTTTCTTCCAGATTTCTCCCTTGCTGCTTTCTTCTCATTCTTCTTATTTGCCTTCCATTTTATCAAAAGCACCCTCTTGATCTTACTGTTTTTTGAGTAAAATGCCACACTCATCCCCCTAGTGAGAGACTGTGCACTGAGCTTGTGCCTCCTGAGAGAAGCATATTCCCTACCAAAGCTCAAGGATTTCTCCACATCAACAGTGGTTGCTTCAGAATGTGCGGGAAAGTTGATAAAAAATCAACTAACATAATATTAATAATTTAGACAAAAAACAAACCTGGACAACTAAGCACATCAAGTACAATCTGAAGTAAAGGTGCGCAGGTGCACACTTGCAACAAGTACAAGTACTTGCATGAAAATTCTCAGATCTCAGACACCTGCACTTGCACCCACACCTGTAGGCAAGTACTTGTTGGAAGGCAACAAGTGCTTGCCAACAAGTAGCAAGTACTTGCAAACAAGTACTTGGTGCGATCTCTATACGAGACATGTATTTGTATCGGATTGTATAGTCTTTATTTTGAGCCTGATACCGGTATCAGTATTTTCTTGGTTGGTGAAAAAAATCCATTGTCTCGGATTCGGATTTATGAATGAAAAAAAAAAATTGTCTTCGTTTTTTTTCGTTTTTTCTTCAATACGGCCAAATATCTTGTGTATCAAATACGTTTTTGGTGGGATCAGTCATCTGAGACGATACAGAATACTTGCCTCACCTTCCAAAGACGATACGTGTGTATTGTCTCAGGAAAGTGAGACAACACAAATCTGGTATTTTTGGGTATTCAAATTCTGAGACGATACCAATAAACACTTGATACCGTATCGTATCGTATCTGTTGCACCGTTGTTGAAACACAATTGGCATACTACATCGCTCTCCTTGCGTACACTCTTCAAGGATCACCTCTATGGCTGACCCCACAGCCCAACCCACCGACTCCGATGCCCTTAACCTTGAAGTTTCGGGCATCATTCAGCTTAAGCCTCAAGGGGCTGACTCGGATTATCTCTATTGGAGCTTTGTGGTGCTCCTGCACCTCAAGTCTTTAAAGCTGGCCTACGTTTTGGATCCCGTTGATACAACGTCTCCCAATGCCAAACCTCTCGCTTCCTCCTGGGCTAACGACAGCATCGCTGTCTCGTTTTTCATCGCTCGGGCCATTCATCCGAGTAACCTCCGTTTAGTCCGATTGCCGCCTCAATGTGGCTCTCTCTCTCGCAAGCTCACCAAGACTTTTCCTTGGGAGGCCGGTGTGGTGTTCTAAACGGTACAGGCCCCCTCAAGGTCGAATTTCAAATTTCCATTCTCAACTTTTCAATATCCTCAAGACTCAAGATTTCAAAAATATCACCTCAAATCCCCACTCAGTCCAATGGTTTCCTCATTTCATTATTTTATTTCATTTCCTCTTATTATTTACTCTTCATATTATTTTTCATTCATCTTGATTTTATTTTTTATTTTACCATTTATCATTCTTTATTATATTTTTCAAATCACCTACCCAGTAGACAGTCTTGTTTAATTTTCTTGGTCCTAAGACATCTTAGCATGTTGGTTTATTTCACTCTTGATTGTTTTCTTTTGTTTTGTTTTGTTTTGTTTTGTTTTGTTTTGTTTTGTTTTTTTTTTGTTCTGTTCTGTTTTGTTCTTTTGTGTTGTGTTGTTGTGTTGTGTTGTGTTGTTTTTTGATTGAGTTGTGTGTAGTTAGGGATGTGATGACATGTCTGTGACATGTCACTCCCCAGAGTCAAAGTTCAGTTTGAACTGAGATGATGGGGAACCATGGCACTCTGATCTGATCCAAGATAGACCCATCAAATTTTATTGATCTTCTCATCATTGATACTTCTGATCCTCCTACATATCCTCAAGATCACTCAGACTCAACCACCGCCACAGAACTCCACTTCTGTTGTCTCCTCTCAGAAAACCAGCCAACCCCAACGCATTTGTTCAGACCTCAGCTCACTCATCCAGACCCACTTGAAGGCAGCCCTCAAAGCACCATCCCTTCAACCAACTGCCTACCGCCTGGCACGATAGGAGTTCCACATTTGGTCCCCCGAGCCGGGATCGAACCAGCGACCTCAAGATTTACAGTCTCGTCTTACTTGGTCTTCTTTCAGGCGACAGGTGCTCTAACCTTGAGGATTTCTAGCGTCTGGCTTTTGTTTAAGGATGTCTAGCCTCGTTTCAGGACCTCTAGCCTTGTTTCAGGATCTCTTCTTTAGGTTCGCTTTTAGGCAATAACTTCGATCGCTTATATCTTTCGCGCTGTTCGCTTTCGTGGAAAGGTGTCGCAGGCAAAGTTGTAGAGCGGATCCGTAGCTTTTAGCTAAAATCAAGATCGTCAGGATCGGACCAGCGGTTCAAAAGTTATCGACCCTCAAAGTAAGTTCAAACCCTTTTTTTTTCGCTTATCTCATATTCGGAGCCTTCCACTGCGTTACCCGTTCGCTTTCGTGGATTGACCTTGCAGACAAAGTTGTAGCTGTCAATCAAGGCTATCTGCTGCAATCCGGATCGTCAAAATCGGACTAGCGGTTCAAAAGTTATCAGCTTCCAAAGTCAATACTCGCATTTTCGCCTACCTCGTTTCCGGAGCCCTCTACCGCGTTACCTGTTCATTTTCGTCGATCAAGTCCGCTGACAAAGTTGTAGCGGTCGATCAGTGCTTCCTCCCACAATTTGGATCGTCAGAATCGGACCAGCGGTTCAGAAGTTATCGCTGTTTGAATAAACCCTCTCAAATTCTCTCTCAGGCTTTCCTCTTTTTGGGTCATTCTTTTCTACACATTACGTGGCGTGTATTGTGGAGGCTTAAGGACCAAAAGTAAGTCCCCTCCAGTTGTGCACCTCTGAAGCATCACTACTATCTGTCAAAGACATCATCGCCACTTCGTGAGCCATCCTTGTTCGCCATTTGCTTTCCTTAGAGTCAATCAATCGAGACAGAATGGCCGACAACGAAGTAGGAGCCGCCATGGTCAAGATCAAGCCTCAGAATAAGTCTCTAGCGTTCAATGGGAGCAACATCGAGTGTTTTCTTTCTCAATACCAACTAGCTGCGCGTTTGGATGGAGCGTCAGAGAAGGACATGGCTCAACAGCTAGGATTTTTCATTGCAAAGGACGAGCTGTTGGATGTTGTCGAGACTTTGGAAGGATACGAGCCGCCGGACTGGCCTAAATTGAAGGCTTCTATGATCGCTTACTGGGGAAACGTCGATACGGCCAAGTTTACGTCACGCGATCTGGAGTCTCTGGTTGAGGAGTGGAAGAGCAAGGGCGGCATCTCGTCTGTTGTTGACTATCAAGAATTCCGGAAGACTTGGGAACCGATTCAATCATACCTTCTGGCTAAGGCTCACATTGACTCGGTTGAGGAGATTCACAAATGGTACTATCAGTCTTTTTCGACCGGCGTCCAGGAAAGGATTCGAGATCAGCTGATCAGAGATAAGACAATGATCACCACACTCGATAAGCGTTTCAAGCTGCCGACGTTTGAGGTCTTGAAGAATGCGGTGGAAGAAGTGATGAAGGGTCAGACTGCTTTGACCTTTGAAGATTCTAGATCGACTGTTCCTGTTCCCTCCACTTTGTTTAAGGATTCGAACGATGTTATGAAGAAGATGGAAGCCGATCGGCGCCCCAAGGAAGTATCTGATGCTTCAAAACCTCCGGCAACCATCGATGAGATCTCAAAGATGCTTCAGTCGTTTGAGCAGCGCTTGAAGAAAGAACTTTCAACTCCCCAAGCTTCTCAAACCACTCCATCCGGCACCCGTCCACCTATGGTCTGTTATTATTGTCACTATGAAGGCCATGGAACCGGTCGCTGTCAGAAGCTGCAAGAAGATAAAGAAAATAAGCTTGTTGAGCAGCAGGGTAATAACTTTTTCCTTCCAAATGGTGCTCTTATTCCATTCGATCGTACCCAACCAATCCGCCATGTCGTTGCCTCCTATCAACCACCGATTCCGTCTGCAAGTTTTGTTTCAACTGAATTCAAGACCAGCTGCGGTACTCTTCAGCCATGGTAACCGCCAGCCGTTTCATCCCAGTCTTTCTCCGGAGCCTATGAATCCGATCCCGCTAGGAAGAGGCATGAAGAGCCAAAACCCTACAAGGCCCCTGCTGTTCCCCCGTCTCAGACTTGCCGTCCCATCAGGAAGCCCTCTACCGTATCCCCTAGACCTGAAAAGGACAAGATGGAAGTTGAGCCCGAGCTCTTTGAAAGAGGACCAGCCGAGCCTGTTCAAAATGAGGTTCCATCAAATGATCCAGTTTCTCCTTTGCCTCAATCAAATGATCCAGTTTCTCCTTTGCCTCAATCAGATGATCCAGTTTCTCCTTTGCCTTCATCAAATGATCCGGTTTCTCCATTACCTCCGTCCAAGCCCGCAAGTTCCCAACCCAAAGTCCGTTTCGAGCGTGGAGTCACCAAAGAACATCCAAATGCTGTAGATGGTGTACTCAAGAAGATCTCCGACCTCAGGGTTCCCGATATTTCTGTGTCTGAGTTGATGGCCATTGCCCCATCTATTGCTGAAGGAATGAAGAAATGGGTCTCCCGTCGTCGCGTTGAAGTTGGACCGGACGAGTTGAAGGTTTCTTCTGGTACCCTAGTTGAAGGATTTGAAGTCAAAGAACAGGTTTACGATCCTAAACTCTACTCCTGTCCATTGGGATACCTCCCCTGTCTCATTGGCAATGAAGATTCCGCCGCATCTCCTCTTGTTGATTCTGGTTCTCAGCTCAATCTCATCTCCGACGCATTAGCCAACAAGTTCAATATCAGTCCACGTGTCAACTTCAGCTCCGCCGTCTACGGTATTGGCAATCAGGCTTGTGAGTTGGTTGGTGTTTCTGAAGACGTTCCCATCCGAGTTGGGCGAAATATTGTGGGGACTTGTCATTTCTGGATCACCCGTTTAGATGGACCTTTGATTCTTGGTCGCCCGTTTTTGATTGATTTCGATGCTACCTTGCTGTTCTCGGCCCAAGTTGGAGAGAGAATTCTTCTTCCTGATGCAAGTGGGCGTAAGATTGAAGTTTCTCTTTGTCCAGTTGATTCAGGTCAATGGCAGCGTGAATTTCCTGGTCACGGTCGGAAGGCGGTTTTAACTAACAAAGGGAAAAATCGCGAGGACCCGGATTCAGAGCGACATTTTTTATAGATTCAGTTGATCCAAGTTACGGCAGTCTTAATGTAGAGCCTCGAATTCTCGCCGTTGGATTCACTCAAGATCAAGAGGCTCAATGTGTTTCGGTTTCTGTTTCATCTTCAATTAAAAATTCAAAATCTCAAAAACAAATGAAAATCATCAAAGACACAAAAAATATTTCGACTTATTCCGATCTCAGTTCTCATTCAGTTTCAATCAATCATCATCTCAGTCCTGTTTCCAACGTCGTTTCTGTTGGGGTTCCGTTTTTTATTTCACGTGGAGAAGATGTTGAGGTGGATAATGGTTTCTTGCGGAGGCAAATTGGAGTAGAAGTAAGTCCTCCCAATTGTGCACCTCCAGGGCTTGATGCCATCAAAATAGTCAAAACTCTACCGTGTGCCACATTTGTGAGCAATTCCCGAACCCCTGGTCTTTCTTCTCAAATAGGACATACCCGTTCGGAGGACAAACGTCTCCGCAATGAGAATAAACTACACTCGTTTCATCTCAAGACTTCTCAACTCTCAAATCTAGATCCTTGTCTCCGCAATGAGGATAAACTATTTTCTGTTCAGTTAAGTGATGAAGATGGAGTGGTGGAATTTGGACCTCCGTGGAGGCAATTTGGAGTAGCAGTAAGTCCTCCCAATTGTGCACCTCCAGGGCTAGATGCCACCCAACGTTTCAAAACTCTACCTATGTGAGCAATACTCTGCCCCGTGCTTTCTCCTTTTCAGAAAAGTCTTCGTTTGAGGATCCCTCTGAACTCCGGACGTGGCTCATGCTTGAGCGAGGTTTGAACCGTCGATCACAAGATATCCTTCTAGAATCGTGGAAGCAAGGGGATTATCTCACGTTTGCTACTAAGTACAAGCCAGTCGCCAAGAAGATCAAGCCTGTGAACAAGCCTATGCCCGTTGGACTCAATCCGCCTCTCAAACGCCCCCCTCTCTCTCGCGACCCGTATTGTGGACTTCCTAGGTCTCTGGCAGGTCCTTTTGTTGCTTGTGGACGTGTCACAGAAGAACGGCTTTCAGTGGTTGATTTTGGACCAGATGGTTGGCTTTCTCCGGATGAATTGAATTTGATCAAGAATGTTCTAGCGCGGCGGGAGAAGTCAATTGCCTTCTGTGAAGAGGAGCGCGGTCTTTTGAAAGAGTCCTATGGTCTTCCTTATATTATTCCAGTTGTTGAACATGTTCCATGGCAGAAGAAGAAGATTCCAATTCCGGCAGCTAAGTTGGAAGAGTTCATCAAGTTAATTCGAGAACGAGTACGAACAGGATTATATGAACAATCTACGTCAAGCTATTCTAGTCCGGTCTTTTGTGTTCTCAAGAGCAATGGTAAACTTCGAGTTGTTCATGATCTTCAGCCATTGAATAAAGTTACTATCAAGGATGCTGGAGTTCCTCCTGCTACTGAAGATTTTGTGGAGTCGTTTGCTGGACGTGCTTGCTACGGACTTGGAGACATTATGGGCGGATACGACGAGCGAGCTCTAGAACGAACTCGGTTGCTGTTTATCAAGCTCAGATGATGTGGATTTTACAAGATGAGATTCCAGATCATGCCGGAATCTTCATTGATGATGGTGGTATCAAAGGGCCGACTTCAGATTATAACGATGAGCCTTTGTCTTGGCACCCTGGAATTCAACGTTTCATTTGGGAATACGCAGAAGTTCTAGAGCGCATCCTTTTCCGTATTGAAGAATCTGGCTTGACAGTCTCAGCATCCAAACTAGCCGCTTGCGTTCCTGCTTTGGAGATTGTTGGTCATGTTGTCTGTAAGGAAGGTCGGCGAATGTCAAAGAAGAAATCAAATAAGATCCTCACTTGGCCCAACCCAGTCAATCCGACTGAAGTTCGTGGATTCTTAGGTTTGGTTGTATATGTTCGAATTTTCATCCCATCACTTTCCGAGATTTGCTTGCCACTCCGCCGCCTTACTCGAAAGGATTCAGTTTGGACTTGGACAGAAGATTTCGAGGCAGCCTTTCAACTCCTCAAGACTATCGTTGGGAAAGATATTGTTTTGGTCAAGATCGATTATGGACCAGAGGCTGGAAAAATCAAGCTTGCAGTCGATTCTAGTTTTCATGCTGCTGGTGCTGTTCTGACACAGGAAGATCAAAACGGTTTGGACCGTCCTGCTTTATACGAGTCTCTCTTGTTTTCAGACGTCGAATCTAGGTACTCTCAGCCCAAGCTTGAACTCTGTGGTGTGTCTAGGATCTTGAAGAAACTACAGACGATCTTGTGGGGCCAGCACTTTGAGCTTCAAGTCGATGCACATTCCCTGATTCAGATGATCAATTCTCCAAGTCTACCAAATGCTCCTATGACACGTTGGGTTGCCTTTATTCAGCTTTTCTCTTTTGATATTGTTCACCGACCTGGAAAGTCTTTCACCATGCCGGACGGTCTTTCTCGGCGGCCACGTGGCGATGACGAATCGGATCCGCCCTCTGATTTTGATGACGAAACTCCACACATCAAGCCATTGAAGTCTTATTTGTTGGATGCTAGTGGGGATTACTCGGGATATCAAGAAGGCTATTGGCGACAGATGGAGGATTATTTGGTGACTTTATCAAGACCAGAAGGCTTCAATTCTAAAGAATTTCAAGCATTCAAGCGCAAGTCTGTCGATTTCTTTGTTCAGTCAGGAAGGCTCATGAAGCGTGGAAGTCCTTGTGCTCGTATTGTCATCACCATTCCAGCAAAGCAGGATTTTGTTCTCGAGAAGCTGCATGAAGAACTCGGTCATCGTGGAGAAATTGAAACATATCGGAGAGTCTCAGAGCGCTTTTGGTGGCCCTCATTGAAGAAGTCAGTTGCTAAGTGGTGCAAGAGTTGTGAAGCTTGTCAGAAGCGGGATCTTCGTCGTCCAATGGCAGTTCGTTATCCTACTGGCAAGTCAACTGTTTTTGGACGTGTGGCAATGGATGCAGTTCACATCAAAGCTAGCGGTGCCAAGTATCTGATTGTTGCTCGGGATGATTTTTCTGGTTGGTTTGAAGCCAAATTTCTCAATAATCTCAGTTCTGAATCAGTTGCTTCATTCCTTCATGAAAATTGGACGGTGCAGTATGGTCTAGCTCGTTCGTATTCCACCGATGGAGGATCTGAATTTGGAGGAAAGCTAGCCGAGATGTTACGTTCAATTCCAGGTCAACACCAAGTTTCAACTTCATACTATCCAGAAGGTCAAGGAATGGTTGAGCGTGGCCATGGACCCCTTAAATCAGCTTTGGTCAAGCTTGCTGGCGAAAGTGGAAAGAATTGTCGAAAGTTTCTGCCTCTTGTTTTGTTTGCCGATCGAATTTCAACTAAACGGACCACAGGATACTCACCCTATGAACTTGTCTTTGGACAGCGAGCGGTTCTCCCTATTGATCTTGAAATGGAGTCCTATCTTGGTATTGATTGGGAAGAGGTAGAAGACACGGCCGACCTTTTAGCTGCACGATCTTGACAGCTGGAACGCAGTGAAGAAACCCGAGGAGTTGCTTATCAGAAGATGATGAAGGCCCGTGAAGAGTCTGTTCAATACTGGGAAGATAAGAAATCCGATCGAATCAGGAATCCTTTGAAACCAGGCGAGCTAGTTCTAGCTTATAACCGATCTCTTGAATCTCAGTGGGGAAAGCTTTTTGTAAATCGATGGAATGGTCCTTATTGTGTGGTTTGTCAAGTCCGAGGTGGATCATACGTTCTGGAGGAGTTAGATGGCACGGAACTTGCACGGCGCTTCTCGGCAGATCAGGTCAAGAGGTTTTTTCCCCGTGGAGGCAAAGTTGACCAAAAGTAAGTCCTCCCAATGTATGCATCTCTAGGGTATTTACTACCGTTTTGTAAAAACTCTAC